CAAATGGTGCCCCGACGTGGATAACTGAATCCACAGAAAGCCTGAGAAAGCTTGGGAGAGAATAGAGTAAAGCATGTTTTCTTAGTAACAGCAATTTCTCAGGTCTGCTCTGCTTGCTAGAGGCAAGCAAGCCCTCTCATCTAAGAGAGGCTTCCTGACTCAGCTTTAGCTGCAAAACTCTGCAGCTCTTTTAAGAGGTCCTGCCACGAAACACTTAAATGGTGTTGATAAAATGCTGAACGCATACTTTTTGGTTTTCGGCCATAGCAGGAAAAATGCTGTGCCATTTTAAAATGCTGGCTTTCTGGGCCGTCCTGCCTGGGCAAACTCTGTTTCTTTCAGGCAGGCAGTCCGACTGAGTGTGGTCTGTGAGCAGAATGTTGCAGCTTGCTGGCTGTCAGGGACCTTGAAACACCATAGAGTTGTGGCATTAAAAATCGCTCCAGCAGTATCTCCTCCCTGCGGCTGGAAAGCTAAGTAATGGGGATCTAGCCGGCAAAGCCACGGCTTTAATCCTTCAGGGTTCCTGATTCATGAAAGATTCTGCGAGACACTCTGAAGGACACAGCAGATAGTGACTGAACTGTCTTTGGAATTTCCTGCTTCATGGTAATGTTTGCTGAATACTATGGACCTGTAAGCCAAAGATGGATGCCCCAATGGTACAGAGGAACTTTGGGTGACTCTCCAGGCAGCAAGATGTCTCTGTCATTTCTAGAGTTTTAGAAGTTGCTTAGTTCTTGTTTACTTAGGTAATATTATATCCTTCTGGAATCTTTGAGGGAGTTGAAGAATGGTTAGTTATAGTTATAGTTTTCCTTTGTTATGGTAAGAGATAAAATAGATCTAGATATTGTAATTGTAATTCTTGCTTGATAGCTGTTTTGTTATATGTAATTTTACTATGTTAAAGTGAAAGCCTTTCTTTTTTGTTTAAACAGGAAAGGGGCAAATGATGTGGGAGGGTCATCTATCTATGTTACTTTCATTGGTTAATAAAGAAACTGCCTTGGCTTTCTGATAGGGCAGGATTTAGATAGGTGGAGTAGACAGAACAGAATGCTGGAAGAGAGAAGCAGAGACAGGCACATGCCATAGCTCTCCTCTCCGAGATGGACGCAGGTTAGATCTTCCCTGTAAGCCACCACCTCGTGGTGCTACACACATTAATAGAAATGGGTTAATCAAGATGTGAGAATTAGCCAATAAGAGGCTGAAGCTAATGGGCCAAGCAGTGTTTAAAATACAGTTTCCGTGTTATTATTTCCGGGGCTAAGCTAGCCGTGCTGGAGCCAAGCGGGACAAAAAAGCAGGCCTGTTAGCTTCATCACTACAAGCCAGAAACCTCTTTTGTTTAGTCTTTTGAAAACATGCTGGATATTTAAATGTTTGCCGGCCCTTCCCACCTCTAATCCCTTAGAGTCTGGGGGCTGGCTGCATACCCCTACTTTCTATAGCTTCCTACTTGTCTGAAAGGGTTCAAGTATTTGTTCTGTTTACCCCAACACCCTTCCTGGAGTTTTAATTTTGCTTGTTGAGCTGTTATAAAAAAAAAATTTCCTATAATTTATCTCTTTCCTGAAAGATTGGGCACCAGAACAATAAAAGCAGGACATTTAGAAGGGCTTTTGGGTTCTTGTTGGCTTTTGAGGCATGTGTGAGGCCAAGGTGAACCTGAAGCAGAAACTTCAGCTGGATCAGTTCTCTCTAACTTACGTTCCCAGTGCTGCCTGGCTAGAAGGTCACTGAATGCTCACAGTATGTTATGTTAGCTTCCCCTGGAGACACTGCCTTCTGATAGGTCAACCTTTTCCTCTGAGTGTTTACTTTGCTATGTGAAAGTAAACAAAGAATTATCAATATCTGTCATGTACTTGGCATGGGACAAGACAGTTTCAGATATTGCTTTACTCAAAATTTATGGAGCTGAGTGTTCCTGTTGAGAAAGTCTCAGAGGAGACAAGTCATTTAACACGAGGGCCCTACGTATCTGTGGGAGATGATAGAGTTCAGAGACAGCAGCTAGGAGAATGAACTTTTTTCCCCTATAAATCATCTGGCTTTCTGTCCCTCTTAAAAATTAAGTAATATTGCCAAATCAGATGAGTTCATTGTATTCCCAGGGTTAAGAACAAAGCTTGAAATTCCCTCTTTGTGTGAGGAATTTCACAAGAAAAACTGAAGGATAGAATGTCAGCCTCCTGGCCAGGACCATGGCTTCCCAAAGTTGCTGAGTATTTCATCTGCTTTGTGGACTTTGGTTTCCCTGGATGGTCTTCCCTTTCCTGTGAACTTCAGGTTTCACTGAAGGCCTATACTTTATCTTTCCTGTGACCACATTCCCTCTTTGGACTAAAGAACATTTTGCATGTGTACCATTGATACCTCAAAGTGGTTTTCTGACCCTTTATTCTAAAGCTTATTTATTTTCTTGAACCCGGGTCTGTTTTGATGCTGAAGCTGCTGTATTCCAGCTTGCTACCTTGAATGACTTTCATAGATAAACACAAAATAATTTTTAAACCAAGTTTATTTTTGTTATATTGCTGATATAATCTGGTCCATCTTAAATTAGACTGAACTGTTTTTGTTAAGAATCGTAAACATATAGTAAGCTTCTCTTATTGTGAGTCAAGGTCCTTGCTAAGGTTTCTGTTAATCAGTTTAGGTAATCTGGGATACTTTGAATTCTCTCGGTTTAACTTACATTCTCTAGTCTCATTGCATTTGTTTCAAATTGCCCCTCCTCTCCTGATGAATAGAAGCGCCACTTCTCCCAGAGTTGTTCTGAGCCCCCATACAAGCTGCTATTTTTGCTGCTCTATGCTCTCTCTCTTGAAGTAAGAATCCCATTCTTTGGGACATATTAGAATAAGTCTGCATGCGGAGATTTTCTTAGAAGCATAAGGGGAAACTACATGCTGAGTATCTTTGGAAGGAACTGATTGGCCGGAGCACAAGGGAATGTCTGGCTTTTTACTGTACACTTTATTTTTTTTAACTTTAAGCCACATATATGCTGAGATCCTGTCTATATATGGGATTTATAGAGGAAAAAATATGTAACAGAATAGGCATGGCCTTAGAATCCTAGCCTTTCCTCTGAGAGCCTTTTCCAAGCTTGCTGGCCTGTGGGTTCTGCCTGCTCTCAGGAACTGCCCTGAATGTTCAACATTTGGATATTTTGGGTTAAGCTTTTGTTAGATTTAATGTTTTCTTTAACTGATGAGTCTATTTCCTCTATTGTATCTTCAGCACTAGAGATTCTCTCTTCCAACTCTTGTATTCTGCTGTTCATGCTTACGTTTGTGGTTCCTGATCTTTTTCTCATGATTTCTGTTTCTATAATTCCTTCAACTTGTGTTTTCTTTATTGTTTCTATTTCAGTTTTCAAGTCCTGAATAGTTTCTTTTACAGGTTTGATTTTTCTTGGTTTTCTTTAAGAGATTTGCTGATATCTTCCAATTTTGTGTTTGTCTTTTCCTCAATTTCTTTAAGAGAATTTCTCATTTCATCTTTAAAAATTTCAAACATTCTCTTGAAGGTATTGTTTAGGTCATTTTCTTCTGGTTCATCCATATTTGGCTGTTCATGTCTGGCTGTTGTAGGGTCTTTAGGTTTTACTGGTATTGTGTTGCTCTTTGTGGTGTAGCATGTGGTCTCACTTTTTCTACTAATCTTTTTATCTAATAGGTGTGTTTGGGGCTGTCTGAGATTCAGTAAAATCATCTTCTAGGTGCCAGTGAATCCAAAGCTCAGATGGTTGTTCCTCGTGGTACAGTCAGTGTCACAGTTCTAGTTACCCCATGGTTACTCAGTGTTCCTGGAGATAGCTCAGAGCTCATATACTTTGCTCTTCTCCCTTGCAGTTTGCTGTCTCAGGCCTACTTTGGCCTAGGTTGCCAGCTTTGCTCTGTTTCTGTAAATCCTGGTCTGGATCCCCTCCTGCAGAAGTCCCTGGCTTGGAGTTGAAACTGTTCTGGTGGAGATCACTTAATTCTGGATCTGGTCGCTGGCTCAATCCTGATCTGCCAGTGGCCCCGACTGGGTTGGCTTCCAGGACTGGATTTGCTCCTGGCTTCTGTTCCTGGTGGAGCTTGTTTCCCCAGGCCCTCAAAAACTGTGCTTCTAAAAGAGCCACTGTTTCCCACTCCTGGCAGGGATGGAAGGAGTGTGGTACAGTTCAGTCACATCTGCCTCTTTTGCATGCCGATGTTGCATGCCTCAAACCTGGCAGCCTGAGACGCACAGGTTCAATATGCAAAAGTAGAGCCCTCAGGAGCTCAGCAAGAAAAGATTGCTCATTTTCCCTCCTTCCTCACAAGTTTCTCAAGCCACAGGTGCCTCGGGCACAGCTAGCCTCCACAAGAGTTCCTTCTGAGCGGTGCTTTGCATAGAGTCTTCCAAGAATCCGACCGCACTCCAGAAAGTTCTTCCCTCTGGAGGTAAGTAAGCCTTTCAGGGGTTCATTGTGTGCCCCCTCCCGCCCCCGCAGGACACTTTTGGGTACAAAACGAGGTCTCACAGGAGCAAAGCAGTGAACACATCCTCTCCTGCAGGCAGCAACACCACCGGCCCCTCTACTGTCCCACTGCCCGTGGGCCATGCCTATGTGAGGGAACCAAAGGCAGCGTGGTCCCTTTCACTTGGGCACAAATGGTGATTCACTGGGCTTGGGGCAGGCACCTTCCCAGGCAAACAACCTGAGGCATCAGGGACTGGGCTGGAAGCAGGAGCTAAAGAGAAGAGGAAAAAGTAGGCTTGCTTTGTTGTAGGTCCTTGGGTGGGGTCTCAGAGACGCTAGAGAAGCTTGGTCAATTGGGGGCAGAGGAATGAACCAGCCCTGTGCTGGGTGTGAGTGGCACCCAGCAGGCACAGAGGTCAGGAAACTTGAGCAAGGTAGGGAATCCGGGGAGATAAGGCTGTGACTCTCCTCCCCGTGGAGTGGAGCCACAGCCTGAGCCCTGGCTCTGCTGGTTGCGTCATCTTTTATTTGCCCACAGCTACGTTTTGTTCAGAAACTCTGTCCTGAACTAAAGAAAACATCCAGCAAGCACTGGGCAAGGAAGGCCAGCGGCGGAGAACAAGGGTGGTCTCGGCCGTGCCAGAGGATGGAGGTGCACAATGTATCGGTCCCCTTCAATTTCTCTCTGCCGCCTGGCTTTGGCCACCGCGCCACAGACAAGGCACTGAGCATCATCCTGGTGTTCATGCTGCTGTTCATCATGTTCTCCTTGGGCTGCACCATGGAGTTCAGCAAGATCAAGGCTCACTTCTTAAAGCCCAAAGGGGTGATCATTGCCATGTTGTCGCAGTACGGCATCATGCCCCTCGCTGCCTTTGTCCTGGGCAAGGTCTTCCGTCTAAACCCAATCGAGGCATTGGCCATCCTCATCTGTGGCTGCTCGCCTGGAGGGAACCTGTCCAACCTCTTCACCCTGGCCGTGAAGGGAGACATGAACCTCAGGTAGGACTGAGGGTTAGGAGGGAGTGGGGTGGGATGGGGTGAGGCAGAGACATCATCATCTGGGGGAAGTCCGGGCTGGGGACCAGGACAGGGGGAGGTTGGAAGTAGGAGTTGGATTAAGGTTGGCACTGATAGTCAAAGGCTTGTGCTAAATCAGGACAGGCTCTGGAGGCTCTTTGTTTTGAGTACCATGTGAAAGATGTCAAGCTGGTCAAGAGGCACCCCGGAACTCACAGAAGTGTCTCAAGGATTGTTGTAAAGGAGCACAGATTTTAACCAGGGTCCCTGAGAACTGAAGTCACCTAACTATGGCATGGTATTGGCTCTGAAGCTGAAAAACTAGAATGGGCAATATGGGTTCTGAACATTCCAGGGAGACCAGGGTGGTGACTTGGACCAAATGAGCATCTCAAATTCCTGCAGAGAAGAGACTCCAAAGGTTCTCCCCCAGTATATGGGCATCCAAGGTATGCTGAGACCCATCAGCCAGTTGACAGATGTAGTGAGAGCCATCTGAAGACACCTCAGGTAGAGTTGAGGTCCCAGCACTTGCCCCGGTTAGTCTAACAATCAGAGAGCAAGCCAACAGCAGCCTGAGCTCAAAACATCCTGATCAGAAACCAGCAAGGTCCCTCTCCTGAACAGCCTGACTCCTCGGGCTTGGTGGGGTTATCTGTCCTTCACACAAGTGTGACTCTTTTTTTTTTTTTTTTTTTTTTTTTTTGATTTTTCGAGACAGGGTTTCTCTGTGGCTTTGGAGCCTGTCCTGGAACTAGCTCTGTAGACCAGGCTGGTCTCGAACTCACAGAGATCCGCCTGCCTCTGCCTCCCGAGTGCTGGGATTAAAGGCGTGCGCCACCACCGCTACAAGTGTGACTCTTGCCTACAGAGGAGGCCCTCTTGACTGCTTGGTTCATCCATGCAATGGCTGAACTCACTAGCAGAAGCAAAGCTTCAGGCTTAAGCCAGTCTCCTCTAGGTCTGTCCTGAATGGAGATGTTCAGTGACAGGTGAAGCCAGGAACCTAGAGCTATCAGCTTGGGTTCATGTGCATCCTGCCTGTGGCTGAAGTTTACAAAGAAACCCAACCAAGAAGCCTCTCCCACTGAGGCGAGGCAACACTAGTGTAACTAGGGGGAGGGGCAAGGTTTGTCATACCTTATGTGTCCCAAGAACCCCAGGTTAAGTCTCAGCTCCGATGCAGAAGGAATTTGAGTCACACTAGTTAGAGAAGGGACAGTCTGAGGGAACCTGTTATCTGTGGCAGCGGCAGAACACAAATGGGGTTGGGGACCATATGAAGGACAATGGGCGAGCTTTTAAGCGTAACCAAGTGTCCCATTCTCACCACCTGGTGACTGCTAATGAGACCTCTCCAGTATCAGCTGCTCTGAAAGGTGGAAGGCCTCCCATGACCCCCAGCTTGTGGTGAGATCAAGAACAGGGCCCTGTGTGCTGCTGCTTGCCCGGCCTCTGGTTCCAAGTTCCAGACTCTGCCACAGGTGTTTCTGTGGCCACCTTCTGTCAAAGTCCCTTCCTCCCAAGCAAACTGACCTACTTATACACATTAACCATGCCTTGATTCCCACTGGCTGAGTGGGAATATTATTCTCCTGCCCTGCCAGACTTTGAGTCCCAGTTGTCCTGAAAAGTTGCGACACGTGCTGGCAATGACAGTGGGTACTAAACATTCTTTTCAACACGAATTTTAAACTTGTTTTATGCATGTGGGGGTTTGCCTGCATGCATGGCTCCTCTGCACTGCCTGTGTGCCTAGTGCCCAAAGAGGCCAGAAGAGGGCGCTGAATTCTCCTGGAACCTGAGTTACAGATGGTTCTGGGATGCAGTGTGGGTGCCAGGAATCAAACCCAGATCTTCTGGAAGAGCAGCTAGTGTTAACCACTGAGCCTTCTCTCCAGCGCCCCTCCCCCAAAAGTACTATTTTATTCTTTTTTGTTGTTGTTTGCTTTCTTGCTTATGTTTTTTCGAGACAGTGTTTCTCTGTGGTTTTGGAGCCTGTCCTGGAACTAGTTCTTGTAGACCAGGCTGGCCTCGAACTCGCAGATCCTCCTGCTTCTGCCTCCCGAGTGCTGGGATTAAAGGCGTGCGCCACCACCGCCCAGCCTATTTTATTCTCTGAATACCCTGTTGTCCACGGTATACTCCGGCACTGATCCTTGTTTCGGTGGCTGGCACGGACAGGTGCATATAGCAGGGAGTACCATAACTGACCACATTCACAGATGAGGAAACAGTCGTAGGACTTAACACCTTTGGCCGGGCAGGTGCGTCTACTCAGACCTCTTGCGAGCTAGCCTGTTCACTGCAGAGTGAATAGAGGCTGCCTGCCAGGCTCAAAGGCCCTGGTCCCACTGATCAGTCATGCGTATTGTACAGGAGGGGAATCCATAGTCACAGTTTTCTGCTTTTCTTTTTAAAGGACATTTATTTCTATTTTATATGTATGAGTGTTTTCTCTGTGTGTATGTAAGGACACTGTGTACATGTCCTGGATCCCCTGAAACTGAAGCCATAGATGGTTGTGAGTCACTAAGTGGATGCTAAGAGTTGAACCCTGGCTGAACCATCTCTCCAGCCCTAAGTTTTCTACTTCTCAAAAGAAAATTGAACCTCCAACTTTAGGTAAAATCTCCAAAACTTCAAACATCAAAAAGTCATACGAATGTACCTAAAAGGCTGTACAAACCAAGCAGTGTCTAAGGGTCAGATGTGGCTCCAAGGTCTACTTTGAAGCCTCTCTTTAAGCTCACTAAGTCCCACTTAGAGTTAGAAGTAAATGGTGAGACTCCTAGTACTTCCGTTTTACTCACTAGGAATCAGGAGTCAGGAAACCTGCCAACGGTCTCCTAAGAGCTGAGCAAAAGTTGTGTCCAGAACAGGCTAGAGCCCTCTCCCCTGGTTATTCTGTCTTCCAAATGGATTAAGTCTGAGGGGGGACACCAGACAGCCAGACAGGGGAGTTCCTTCCTCAAAGACACAGGAAGAGAAAACACCTATAAGTGAGCTTGTTTGGAACAACCCTGACTACTCTTGCCATCCTCAAACTCCCCTGCTCCCTGTAACCTGCTGGTCCCCAAACACCCCAGAGCCAGTGCCTCGGGGAGACAAAAGGCCTGGATATCACTCCATGATCCCTACAAGTTCCCCACTATGACTTGGGAAGCCATTGGAATTCCTATACCTTTCCCACCTCACCATAGGGACAGGATGGTCACTTCACAGTGGCCTCAGCTTGTACCTCTCATCTTTCTAATCAAGTTTAGAGATTCAAAAAAAAAAAAAAAAAAAAGCAGGGTCTATTCAACATGATTATTCTTAAGCAAGAAGGGGCTGGGTACAGTGGTGCATGTCTGTCAACCCAGCTACCCGGGTGACTGAGGTAGGCGAAAGCTTAAGAGTCCATCTCAAAATAAAAGAACTTGGAAGAAAGCCTGGTATGGTGGCCTGTGACGCCAGCACGAAGGCAAAGACAGAAGGCAGCAGGAGTTCAAGGTCACCCTCCACAGACCCTGTCTGAAAAAGCAAAAACAAAGACCATATATAGGAAGAAAGAATGAAAACATAAACATGCTATCCCACTGTAACCAGAAACAAGGTCCCCAGTGTTGCAACGGTCCCAATCTTAGGAGCTAGAATCTGAGGTCACCTCCCATCCAGGTCCTTTAGGGTAAACTGAGGATCGCAAGTCACAGATGCCGGTAGGTTGGGGCTGTGATACCTCTGACAGCCCCCAGTATCTATGATTGTGGAGGAAAATGCCCGAGGTTCTGGAAACATGGCTCTACACATCTAAGGGGACATAGGCACACAAAGTCCCAGAACACAGTCTAGAACTCCTGACACAAAGCCAAAGTAAGCATGATTTCTCTGGACAGGAGGACAAGCACATGACTTGTAAGTTGGTCTTCTACCAAGAGACCGACAGCTTGCACAGAAGCACCCATACACTTCTCAATCTCATTCCCTCCAGCACACCTCAGAGGGAATACCTCCCAGGATTTGGCTCCAGCAACTCCAAGGACATTTTTTAAAGCATCTATTTATTATGTATACATTGTTTTGTGTTTATGTCTACAGGCCAGAAGAGGGCACCATATCTCATTACAGATGGTTGTGAGCCATCATGTGGTTGCTGGGAATAGAACTCAGGACCTCTGGAAGAACAGCCAGTGCTCGTAACCTCTGAGCCATCTCTCCAGCAACCCCCACCCCCACCAAGGGCATTTTTAAACTTTTGTTTTAGGTTGCTGTTTGTGACAGAATCTAGCATAGCCCAGGCTAGTTTTGAACTCACTGTGTAGTCAAACATGACCTTGAACTTGATTTCCAACCCCCTGCTGACTGCTGTGATTACCAGACGCCATTCCTGGCTTAAATGTGTCTGTGTACCTGTGTGCCCTGGGTATGCATGTATCTGCTGAGGCCAGGAGAGGATGTCAGAACTCCTGGAGTTACAAGGGGCTAAGCCACCCAGTGTGGTACTGGGAAATGAACCTGGGTTCTCTGAAAGAACAGCAAGCACTCTTAAGTGCTAAACCATTTTTTCCAGGCCTTGGTTCTCTCCCTTTATATTTTTTTTTAAGGTTTATGTATTTTATGTACAAGAGTGCTTTGTACTTCAAACACACCAGAAGAGGGCATCAGACCCCATTATAGGTGGTTGCTGGGAATTAAACTCATCGTCTCTGGAAGAGCAATTAGTGTTCTTAACCCTGACCATCTCTCGCGCCCCCCCCCATTCTCTTTAAAAACTATCACTATACATACATACAAGATATTTTCAAACTATTACAGATAATCTACTGTATTTGCATGTTTTCAATTTGGTATCATACAGTTGGATCATATATTTGGCAATTTGCTCTGAGAGCCAGTGCCTTAGCTTCCTGACCAGAAGCAACATGGAAAGGGGTTTATTTTACCTTACAGCTAGTTCATCATCCAGGGAAGTCAGGGCAGGAATTCAAGACAGGAGCTGATGCAGAGCCCACAGAGCATTGCCAGTCACTGGCTTGCTCCTCATGAGATTCCTCAGCCTGCTTTCTGACAGCACCTAGCACCACCAGCCCACAGGTGGCACCACACAGTGAGCTGGGCCCTTCCCCCCCATCCTCAATCAAGACAAATGTCCTACAGGCTTATCAATGAGCCAATTAATTCTATGGAGGCATTTTCTCCAATCAAGATTCCTTCTTCCCAGATGACACTACTTTGTGTCAAGCTGACACAAAAACTAGCCAGCAGTTAGGCTTGTCAGTAGAATACCTACTGTGTGTATTTGAACTGTCGTGTGGTTTGCTGCGCTTACATTTTGGGACACATTCCTGACTCCACGGCCTGCTTCTATAGACAGCCCTGTGCATGGGTCTCTTTTTCCCAGGTCAAAGTATGGATAGGAAAAGCAGGAATTGGAAATCATGGGATTCCCACGTCAGCAAGGAAGCTCCCAGTTGTTCGACTTCACACTTCAACATAGGAATTGTTTTCCGCATCTTTTTATTTGGACTCTCCGGGCTTTGTCAATTTTGGCAACCGGTCAGTTGTAGCAAACCACATTTCCAATGGATGTCATGCAAGGCCTAGCACCTTTTCCGAGTTAACTAGTCACTTGGGTGTCCTCATCTGGAAATGGGATGGACTGTGTTTCTACGGGGTTGTTCTCAAAGAACTTTACTGATTTGCAAAGTGATTTGAATGTTATCTCCTCACAGCGTGGGATTTACACGTATATGTTGAACTCTATACTGCTTTGTCTTGACTAGTCAGAGGTTTAATAAATATGTCCTATATTTTCTTTTTTAGAAAATTACCTTTACACAGCTACTAGGTGGTTATAAAAAAAAGAAATTTACCTTCCAGCCAGGCAATAGCACACAGCTTTAATTCCAGCACTTGGGAGGCTGAAGCAGGCGGATCTCTGTGAGTTCAAGGCCAACCTGGTCTACAAGAGCTAGTTCCAGGGCAGGCTCCAAAGCTATAGTGAAACCATGTCTCGAAAAAAACAACACAACCAAAACAGCCTTTCACATGGAATTGTTTTGTTTTATAACAGCTCTCGCTATCCTGGAACTTGCTAATCTTACATTTCCATGTGAATATTTTTAGAACCATTCATTTTTTTCTCCCAATACTATTTAGTACCACCTCTTATTAGTCAAACATGGTTGGGCTTTTATCCAAACTCTATCGTATTGGCCAATCAATGTGCCTGTCTTTTCTATCAGTCCATTTTCTTAAGCAAAGACCATGGAGGAATGCTGTTTCCTAAGTTATTACTCATGCCTTGCTCATGACCACCTGCCCAGGGATGACATGCACAGTGAGATGGGCCCCCCAACATCAATCACCAATCAAAAAAAAAAAAGTAGTTTTATTTAAATTGAAATGGCATCTTCTTCAATAAAGCACAAGGGGTCTGTCTGCTTTCTATTCTAACAGTTACTATGTACAATTTAAGTCAAAACTCGGAAAAAAAAAAAAAGGCTGCATGTTGCTGGCCAAGAAAATGGGATAAGGTATGCAGCCCAACAGTGTCTGGCATACAGAAGGTACTCAAACATCTAATTGGTTTTTCTTTGTTCTGTTATCTTCCACTCAGCATTGTGATGACCACCTGCTCCTCCTTCACTGCCTTGGGCATGATGCCTCTCCTCTTGTACATCTACACCAAAGGGATCTATGACGGGGATCTTAAGGACAAGGTGCCCTACAAAGGCATTATTATATCGCTGGTCATGGTTCTCATCCCTTGTAGCATAGGAATCTTCCTCAAAACCAAAAAGCCACAATATGTTCCCTACATCGTCAAGGTAAGAAAACTCAGGGCCCTGCTTAAATAAAGCATTATGACTGAGCCATTACCACCATAGGCTACTTAGGAGAGCTCTTTCTTCTTTGACTTGCTCACTAGGGGCTCTGGTTGGATGCTGGGTCACTTGGCAACAGCAGCATCAACTCACAGCATCAACTCATGTCAGACGGGCACTCACATCCCAAGATGAGCAGAGAGGCCCACAGTACTTCCTAGTAGCATCACCCCAAGGATCTGCCTTTAATCAAAAGAGGGGGCTGGAGAGATGGCTCAGTGGTTAAGAGCATTGTCTGCTCTTCCAAAGATCCTGAGTTCGATTCCCAGCAACCACATGGTGGTTCACAACCATCTGTAATGAGGTCTGGTGCCCTCTTCTGGCCTGCAGGCATACACACAGATGGAATATTATATACATAATAAATATTTAAAAAAAAAAGACATGTGGGAGGTGGGTGAAGATCACACACATCAGGTTTTCCTTACACAAGTAAAATAAAGTCTATTCTATAGTTCCTTGTGGGATTGTAATAGGAAACATCAAGAGAAAGTGAACACAGTATACATTAATTATAGTATAATTAAATTTATATTCCCTCTTTGATGCCATACATTGAGGGCTTGCTGTCTTCAGTTTGTCACATTTGAAGGTAAAGTAACGCGCAAAATAAGAGTCCAACAACAGCAAGCAAACAAGCCTTTTTTTGCTTTTAAGACTTTTAAGTCTTTTAAGACTGCTGAAGGCCTGAATGGGGATTGAGCCAGACACACAGCCTGGGATTTACAAAAGCCTGGAGAGAGGCCAACTAGAGAACAGAGGTTAACAGGGCAAACTTGGCTAACTTTAGCTACAAGACTAACAGGGAAACATTTCCAGCATTTCACAGAAAGACAGATGTTCACAAGAAACACTGCACAGCCGGGCGGTGGTGGCACACGCCTTTAATCCCAGCACTTGGGAGGCAGAGGCAGGTGGATCTCTGAGTTCGAGACCAGCCTGGTCTACAGAGCTAGTTCCAGAACAGGCTCCAAAACCACAGAGAAACCCTGTCTCGAAAAACCAAAAAAAAAAAAAAAAACCAACACTGTGCACAGATAGGGCACCCATCATTGCTTGCCCTTAGAAGAATGAGAAACTGGTCAAGTTACCCATACCCTCCAACCTTCTCAGCCTCCTGTACACAACAGTTCTAGGTGGCCAGCTAGGAGCACAAGGCCAAGACCCTGTCTCCAAAGAACAAGTAAACATCACACTCAGGAATAGACACTTAGAGTCAAGCTGAGCATATAGTTGCTAATCAGTAATTTTTTGCTATTTCTTTATTTAAAAGATGAGAAAGGCACAAATTTACACATTTTTGCCATTTTGGAGCATGCTGCAAAAAGCATTGAGGAAAACGTACATCCTTATGTTTCACAATGAAAACCCTGCACAGTCATTTCACCAGAACCTATTAAAGATTCACAGGGGTGTAGAGTCCAGCTCACCCTGAAATAGTGGTTCTCAACTTTCTTGATGCTGTAACCTTTAATACTTCAAGCTGTGGTAAACCACAACCAGTAAATTATTTTTGTTGCTAGTTCATAGCTAGTTTATTTTTAAAAAAGTATAGTTTGTTTTCTAATGGCCTTAGGCAACCCCCCTGAAAGGTCCATTTAAACCCCCCTCCCATACACACACAAGGAGCAACCCATAAGTTGAGAACTGCTACCCTAAAACAATGAAGTCCCTCCCTATAATGTAGACCGAGGAAAGCGCCAAAGTGTTTTTAGGGGGTCTTATGCGAATGTTTACAGACTGGAAATGTCATTTATAAATATCAGCTTCATAGGACCAGGAAATCTCATCCCTTCACAAAAGATCATAAAAATTTCCCAGTAGTCTGGGCTATGTCAAAACCAACTGGCTATGCTTGGCTGATTTTACATTTACATAAGAAACCAAAAAAAAAAAAAGATGGGAGGTAAAGAAAGATTATCTTTCCTGTTATAATAAAAATGACCTCTGGTACCAACTCCCATCTCCCATCCTTCTAAAAGTCTCTTCTTGTCCCCATATCCAGGGAGGGCTGATCATCACTTTCTGCCTCAGTGTGGCTGTCACAGTCCTGTCTGTCATCAATGTGGGCAATAGCATTGTGTACGCCATGACACCACCACTGCTGGCCACCTCTTCCCTGATGCCTTTTGCTGGCTTCCTTCTGGGCTACATCCTCTCTGCTCTCTTCCAGCTCAATCCACGGTAGGTTCCTGAAGCTCCATTTTCCTCAGGGCCTTTAAGGGCTGAGCATTTCCTGGCATATGGTCAAAGGTGCCAACTGAAATACTGGGGGTGGGGGTTGAACAGCAAAGCCTGCTCTCTCACTGTTGAGATAGTGCTTCCTGGAGCTGCCTCGCAATTGATGGCACTGGGGTAGCTTCAATGCCACTAATATTCCTCTCTGCCCACTCTTCTTGCTCTTCTGACAAGAAAGAATACAGGATGGAAGTTATATGCTAAGTGGTACTCCAAAATCCAAAGCTCAGGTCTTTACAGTGCAACCCAACTCACAAATACAGTCATCAACCTGAGGGTCTGTGGGAACACCAGAGGCCCGTTACCCTAAAAACTTTCGTTGAGTTTAAAACAGTGGTTCTTAACCTTCCTAATAATGCTGTGACCCTTTAACACACCACCTATGTGGTGATGACCAATCATAACATTATCTCATTGCTACTTCATAAAATAAGTCTGTTTTCCAATGGTGTTAGGTGACCTCTGTGAAAGAGTCATTTCGACCCCCAAGTTAAGAACCACTGCCTTACAATCCCCCCCCCCTTTTTTTTGGTTTTTCGAGACAAAAGTTTCTCTGTAGCTTTGAAGCCTGTCCTGGAACTAGCTCTTGTAGACTAGGCTAGCCTCAAACTCACAGATATCCACCTGCCTCTGCCTCCTGAGTGCTAGGATTAAAGGTGTGCGCCACCACCCACCAAGGAACTCATTTCTAAACACACACAAAACCCACTATTACAAACTTGTTAGTAAAAACCAAATTACTGTGCATATTCCACACAAGGCAAAAGGCGGCTTCCCTATGACCACATTGCTGCAGTATTACTAGTTCTGGGAGCTCCAGATCACAAAGGTCATCACAATCCCCTCAAAATGCACTAAAGCTAGTAAATTAACACACTTGGAATATGTATTCATTAAATTTAAATATCCACAAAATGAAAGGCAAAATTAGGGAAGAAAAGCTTTCGAAGATACACAGTGGGGCCGACATTTGCTTTTAATGACAAGTTCTGGAGCTAGAGCTATGTAACAATCTCCTGCTGTCTATAGGCAAAAGTGCAACTGTCATCATGTAAGACTAACATAACAAAGTAATGAGTGATCTGGCTCCCAGGTTCACTTATCTGCCAGTCCCTTTCAAGTTTTAACTTAGTTCTATTAAAGAGGACCAAACAGAATTTCCAAGCAATTCAACATCAACAAACCGCCTGTTTCCTCCCACCTTCCTATGCTGGGTGCTTAGGTCTAATGGCTCACAAACAGGAAGGGCAGGCACAGCAGCTGTTAACAGCAGTTGCCTCCTGTTAAGTAACTTTTCCCTCCCTCACAGCTGCAGCCGCACCATCAGCATGGAAACAGGATTCCAAAACGTTCAACTCTGTTCTACCATCCTCAACGTGACCTTTCCCCCTGAAGTCATTGGACCACTTTTCTTCTTTCCTCTTCTGTATATGATTTTCCAACTTGCAGAAGGAATTCTCTTCATTATTATCTTTCGGTGCTATGAGAAATTCAAGCCTCCCGAGGGTGAGTACTGCCACATTGGACCTGAGCTACCAGGGTTCAGCAGGAAACCAGGGTAGCACCGAGAATGCAAGACTTTAAAAGGGTCATTTCCACCAATAGTACTCAGTAGTTGAGAAAAATCACCTGTGGAATATTCCTCAAGGGATTAAGACAGTATGAGGCCCTTATGTCTAAGCAAAAGAACCTTCACTATATGAGACCATTATGTCCAAAAGCAAGAGAACCCCCACTGTAATAGGAAAAACTACTTTGGACCAACGCTATTTCTAGGGTGTTTGTTTGGGAAGCATCAGCAATCTTACAGTATTCAGTTTTCTGTAATGAGGCCAGAACCCTACCACCCCCATAGGGAAAACACAGGATAGCCCTAATACAACAGAATCCAGAGATTCCATTCTGGTTACACAGTAATTTAATCTTCTTAAAATAAAGCTTCTTAAATACATAACTGGTATGGTTTGTACATATTACTAGAGTAGAGCTTTTTTTTTTTTTGAACCGGTTTCTCTGTGTAGCCCTGACTGTCCTAAACTTGCTCTGTAGAGTAGGCTTGTTGGCCTCAAACTCAAGAGATCCACCTGCCTCTTGCATTCTGGGACTAAAGGTGTGTTCGTTCCATTGCCAAGTGGCTTAGAGAACATTCAGAACGTAAGCCTAGATAGATTAGAATTCCTCCCCTTAAAGTGCTTCTGAGTGGTTGGAGGCAGCTGAATAGTCAAGAGCACTTTCAGGGGCTGGAAAGATGGTTCAGCAATTTAAGAACACATGGCTGCTCTTCCACAGGATCCACAAGGCAGCTCACAATCTAGTCTTAGGAGATGCCCTCTTCTGGCCTACACTGATAATGAATGCGGTGCAAAGACATGCATCGAAATAGCCATATACATATAAACAAATCGGTCTTTTAAAGTACTTGTTTACAACATGTTTACATGCACAAAGACCCATGTAGTCAGATGGCTTAGCAGTGATCACCTTTACCTGCTGGGAGTCCTTGCCACCCGAATCCTCTAACAATGTTTTTATGGTACTGTGCACTGGGGTAGTTCATGTGTACAAAGCAAATACCCTCGACCTTTCTGTAGCTCAGGTTAGCCTCAAAATGGAGATTCTCCAAGTGATCATCAAATGAGACATTATGTACCATGTCCAGACTTATCAGTAGTGGAAATCAAACTCAGGACTTGGCATGCTAGGAAAGCATTCCCAAGTCACACCCCCAGACCCCTCATCATCAATCTTTTAAGCAAAAAGCTCAACATACAAACTTTGTGACATTTCCTAACATTTTGCCTAATTACCCAATTTCTTCTGCATCGTATTGCCAGTAAAACCAAGACTGAGATTCTTCCTAGAACCCAGAAGCTGTGGTTTGTACCTCAACACATACAGAAAACTCTGCCTGGAAGTCCCATTACTAAACTAGCAAACACCAAACTTCCCTTCGCAATTAAGATGTAATCCTGGTTATCAAGAAGCCAAAAAGAAAAGCCAAGAGTACACTACAGGACACTAAAACCTTGCTGGGGGAAGAAAAAGCCTAAGTCTGAGTCTCATCTAAACAACTCAGTCATTCACTACCCAGTGGTCACCCTTTCAATATGCAGTACAATGGCGCCCTAGAGCCAACAGATTCCAGGGACGGTTCCAGAAGACCTGTAATAGCCTTCAATGTGACACTCTATGGATTTTCAATTAAGACTTTACTTAAAAAGGCCAATTTTGAAAATCCCAGTACCAAAACTGTGCTAACAGTTGACCCACCACTTCTAAAGTGTGAGAGCAGGGAGGATAGACCCTGCCTTATCTTACTTCTGTCTTCTAAGTTCCTCACCACTCTGCATAGAAGGGAAGAAAAAAAAAGATTGAGGAAGGTAGGGGTTGGCAGTCTGAAACGTCAAGATTCCCCTAAACCTCTTCCTGCTTCCCTTCCTTCAGAACTGAAGTCATTATTATTTACCCACCTTTCCTCTATGACTTTGCGGTATGAGTTGCTAGAGTGATAAATGTACAAAGCATCTGAGGTGCTAACACACCAGGGATGGGAGAAAAGCATACCCTCTGAGGTTCCTTTATTTGTAGCTGAGTAAGTTTTGTGTTTGCCTTAGTTACTTTTCTATTACTACGATACTAGACCAGGCATAGGCAACTTTTATAGAAGTGTTTACAGGAGGTCAGTTTCAAAGAGTTCACGATCATCACATCATGGCAGACAGCATGGCAGCAGGCACTGCACTGGAGCAGAAACTGACACCTTACATCTTGAACCACAAACAGGCAGAGAAAGGCTAACAAGGAATGGTGCCACATTAAGGTTTTTGAAATCACAACAGCCCACCCCCACTGACACACCCCCAACAAGGCCACCCAGTCTGATCTTTCTCAACAGTTCCTCCAATGGAAACCAAGCATCAATTACAGGCCTATAGCAGCCATTCTTATAAACCTCCGCATTATTACTCAGTCTCCATCTTACCTTCACAGATGAAACCAAGGTGACCTACAAGGCTGCTGCCACTCAAGATACTATTCCAGAAGCTCCAGAAAAAGGTACCCACAATGGGAATGTTCCTTCTACACAACCTAACCCTTCCCCCAATGGCCTGGATTCTGGTCAGGTGGCAATTTAAAATGCCTATGTAAAAAAATCAGACGCAGCAAGAAAAGGACCACCATGCTTGCCTGAATGTTTGTATAGCACTTCCAGGAAATCCGTCAGCACAATCATGAAGCCGTAACAATGGGCAACCTACCCAGGAACCCTTACCCATTCAACATGGAATCTGCTATTTGTCCAAAAAATAAACAAGAACTGGGCAAAGTGGTTCATGTTTATAATCCCAATGCTCAGTAACTGAAATGTCGACCTTAAAGTATGAAGACTGTCAAACCAAACATACTCTTCAGTAGCTATGAATGCTTATGAAGGCACTCACCTGCCCTCTACAGCAGTATCTGATTTATACTGGTTTCACTATTTACTTTCCCCTTGGTGGGTATGTTGTTCAAAAGGAAATAAACTACAACACAATGGTTCTAACTTCTGTTATTTCTTTTTTCTGTGGCACATGACTTGCGTTCAAGTTCAAGTACCCACAAAAGTGTCTTGGCAGTGGTGGCACACATCTTTAATCCCAGCACTCAGAAGTTTCAGGCCAGCCTGGTCTATGAAGTGTTCCACCAGGACAGCCAGGGCTGTTACTGAGAAACCCTTTCTCAAAAAACTAAACACATAAAAAGCAAGACAAAACTGCCACCCACCACCACATGAAAGGGCTTCAAATATCAGAAGCAAGATAAATTCCTAAGAAGCCAAGAAACAAGCCAGCACAATGACTTTTAACTACACTATCAGCAGCTTACCTGTCAGTGGCAGCAGGCACTCCAAAAACTTGGGAGACTATTACACAGAAAAATGTTTGCACCCTCATATTTCCTCTATACCTAAACATTTTGCACTTTTTACTTGGATGCCGAAAAGAACTGAAAGATGAACAAACTCCCCATTGCATACAGCTGAACACAGCTGCTTTTGTTTTTCTTAAAACAGTGATCAGGTGCAATCGCAGCCACATTAAGGCACTTAGTCTTGCAGCTTTGTCAGATAACAAGCATTCCTGGGACCAGAACAGGAAAGAACGACTGACCATTTGGGCTGTTATTAATTTAAAAAAAAAAAAAACCATGGTGCCATAGCCCTTTAAAGCTCACATGCCTGCTAAAGTAGTGGGAGGTTTGCCTCAGGTTTAAGGCCAGCCTGGGCTACAAAGTGTTCCAAGCAAGTCCATAGCATACATAGCAATCCCAACTTTCAAACCAAAGAAAGGTTACATACATGTTGGGGCAGTCTAACACCACCAATTTGGAAGAGCACAGAAGAATGACCAACTGAGGCTACATAGTAAAGTGAACGTCAGTCAAGGGTATACGCTAGCATCAACTCTTAACCACAAAATGCTTAACCTTTTTCTTACATTTTGGGTTCATCTGATCAATGATGTCCTAACACTGTGCAAGATGTGTTAACTTATGTAAGAATCTAGCATTTAGGAAAGACTGAACTGGGACTTCACAGTATCCTTAAAAATAAAGGAAAGAACAACAACAACAAAAAAAAACACCAAAAAACTAGTACTAAAACCTCCCTTAGAATTCTAAGACTGTGTGGCACACTGAATCACAGCATTCAAGAGACAGTGAGCAGGTGCATCTGAGTTTAAAGCCAGCACATAGCAAGTCCCAGATCAGCCAGGCCCACAGGCACAGTGAAACCCTGCCTCAAAAGAATCTCACTGATCAAAACTTCTCAAACCTCAGGTCTGTGCTCAATCTAAAACTTCAACCTGATGCAGTTCCCATGAAGGGCAGGCGAGGTGGCCATAAAGAGAGATGGCTGTGTCTGCCAGTGTTACGGCAACAGGTCCCTGAGTAAGCAAGCACAGTGAAATGTTCTAAGAATCAGCTGTACTTCATGGCCACTCTCTTCCTGGACTAGCAAGTCACCAGCCTTCCTAACAAGCACTCCCAAATGACAACTCTCACTCCCAAAGGCCCACTTTGAGGAGGCAAACAAGGTCATTTTTTCTACTTCTAGTCCACAAGGCAGGCATGAGTGTTACCTGGCTATAGACCTGGGATCGTAAGAACCTGAAATCCTGGATCCCTAACCAGCTGCCTTAACTTGTCCTTTGAAAAGCCCCTAAATTTCCTAAGTGGTAATGCAGCTGAGGTTAAGATGTTCTGCTATCGAATACTTACACCAAGATAATACCTGGCAACTAGGCTTTCAAGACAAATATAAATCATTTCCTACACTTCTAGGGTGGCTCTCACTCTCACAGGGATACTTATTAAATGACATGGGAGTAGACCTAAATGAGTACCTATTAAAACTGACCTAGAGAGATGGCTCAGCAATTAAAGACGACTTAATGCTCTCCCAGATCCCACATGATCTGGACTGGAGTTTGATTCCCAGCATCCACACAGCTACTCCTGTATCTAACCATTTCCAAGGAATCCCGCACCACCTGCTGGCTTCCTTGAGCACTAGGAATCCAAGTGGTATACACACATACATGCAGCTAAGACAGTCATCTATACAGTATTTTTCTTATTTCCTCACTAACATAGAATCACGTATTAGCCAGAGCCAGTCAGTGATGGCATGTGCCTTTAATCCCAGTAATCGAAAGCAGAGACCAGCCTGATCTACAAAGAGAGTTCCAGGATAGCCAGGGCTACATAGAGAAACCTGTCTTGAAAAACCTAATGAAAACATGATTATAGTTGCTTATCTCAAAACTAAAACCAAACCAGCACATGAAAATTCCTTAAGATCGACCACTAAGAAATTACAATCACGCCAACTGTTTTTTATCATCAAGAAGCCAAACCAACACCAGCACTGGATTGTATGTGTTACCAAAGCACTGCCCTTTGTGCTCTGAGGGTATGTAACCCATTGACGACACAAGTCAGGTGGCAATAAGACAGCAGGGAGGAATAGAAATAATGTTAACCTGTCATTCCCCTCAGCTGTCAGCTTTCAACAGTTCACTGAATCCTGGGGCCCTCTTTCACTAGCTTCAAATAGCAAAAAAAAAAAAAAAAAAAAAAAAGGCCCACATCACACTACTTCAGGGTTCTACATATGTTGTGTTTTTTAACACAAAATGGAACAGAATAAACATACAGGAAAACACCAAAAGCAGTTGTATAATACTTAATATATTTTATTATCAATAACAAACAGCTGCTTTAATGTCTGTCCTACAGCTGTGTTAACGGGTGAGAAGACACCCACGACCCTAACAAAGAAAACTCATATTAAGCCTTTATATACACGCAAATTTAGAGCTCTTTTAAAGTGTCCAAAGCTATTAGTTTAATTGAGTAATTAAACTAATCTTGAGTTAACATATCTGAACAATGAACTAAAATGTTCAAAAGTTTTTCTAGTACAAAAAATTAAATGCTTTAGTTATAAAAGAGCTCTGTCAATATACACAAACTATATACTTCAGACAGTCACAAAAGTGTGAGCGAAGGCTTATCAAAAGACATTTAATACAATTAGTTTTCAACAACCCCTTGGTGGTCCACATCTACAAAGAAATCCAGCCCAACCCCCTCCAAACCCCTCCCCACAGAAAAGCACATACTTACCAGAATTTTAGCAAGTATGGTTTGGGAATTTGTTTTGTTTTTTAAAAAAGGTCCCCAGGGCAGGTTATTTACAGTTTAATTGCCACTGTCAACTGATCTGGACCTGGACCGGGACCGGGATCTCTGGCGATCCACAGATGCTGGAGACTTAGATCTACTTGAAGAACCACGTTTCTGGCTCTTCTCAGGCACAGGAGACCTACTACCAGAACGGGACTTGCTCCGACTCCGGCTCCTGCTCCTCGAGCGGCTGTAAGACTTGCTCCTACGGGAACGAGATCGGCTGCGGGACCTGGAGGAACTCCTGGTCCGAGATCGTGACCTGCTTCTTGACCTGCTATGAAAAATGGGGAGGAAAGAAAGAAGGGGGGAATTAACCTGTATGATAAAGTTCTAAAAGTTAGTTACATAAAGTTTTTGGTTTAAAAATATTAACAAAGAATACCTGTGACGTTTGCTGCCTTCGATTAATTTGATTTTTCTCCCGTTAATTTCCTTTCCAGAAAGCTTTTCAATAGCATTCTTTAAGTCACCATAAGAGGCAAACTCAACTACCCTGAAAATGGGAGGGAAAGAAATGTCTTTAAAGCTTGTATCTCCAACAGCCATGTAGGTGCGTCTGCAAAGATCAAGACAAGCATTCAGAAGATTCCCTGCTCACTCCATTATTGCTGACATACACAGCATGGCACGGTGCTGAGGCAGACAACTGTTTGCAGGTGTCTTACCATGTACTATCTGTCAGATGTGCAGGATGCCAGATCCCTACTAAATGGCAGTATCAACAATCCCGATAAACTTTCTCCCCAAACTGCCAAATGCAAAACGACCACAATCAAGCACATGCATACTTTAGATCCTGGCAATGTCACCATGAAAGTCCCAGATAACTGAAAGGCTCAACTCCAGTGCATACTCACCCTTCATTTAGTTTAGGTCGATGTGCATCCGCAAAGGTTACTTCCCCAGCTTGTCTCATGAAATCTTTGAGGTCCTTAACACAAGACAATCATGTTAAGGAGAGAAAGGGCAAAGTGACACACAAACAACCACACGGTATAAAAACAAGACTACTGAAAGAGAAGTTGTTAGATAAAGTACAAACATGGCGTATACCACACTTGTATTCTATCAGAGTTCAAAAATTATGCCAGGGCACGAAATAAGCAAATAGCATATTGCTTTTAAGCAAAATGCTAGAGGTAAATTCCAATTTTTAACATTATAGTAGTATTAGTCTAACTGAGCTCAGTACAAGAGGGGGAAAACAAACAAAAAACAAAACAAACAACAAAAAAAAAACAAAAAGGAACAGTACGTTTTAAAGACTAGTTTTATATTAAAAAAAAAACATTTACAAAGACACCAGTTATTTTGTGCCCCATATGTCATTAAAAAAATTTACTTTACCTTTATTAACATTTCCCTAGGCTAGTCAAGCAGCAAACCATTAAGCGGTCGGAGAAACCTTCATGACATAGGCCCGACTGGCTCTTCGCCACCCACTTGAAGGATACTACCCAATCGATGGAAGCCTTTAATCGCACAGCCCTCCCTATTAGCAGACTACTGGCGATGCAGACATGTTTTACTCTTGTGCAGTTACCAAGGACCACTTTACTGCGATCAGGATTCCAACGACCAACTAATTGCGTATCTTTCAACTCTTTCGACCAGGACCTCTTATTCGGAAGCGTTACAGGAAGACAGCTCTCAACTTAGGGATCAGATCACGTTATCAACGTTCTGGGATCGCTGCAACCCGGCACTTCAAGTAAGTGCATCGATTACGTCTAGACCGGCAAACACAGATCTAGAGGTGGCCAACTGATCACTGTAGGAGCTGACTGGCAAAGTCAACCAGGCCCAACC